GCATTTTTTAACCATCCAGCAAATACTGTGGTTATGCAAATGTTTACACTGAGTATGTCTTATTTACTTTTGCACAAAAAAGGAGTTGTTCTTAATTCTAAAAATACTGAGTTTGTTTAAAGAAAAAAATGATTAATAATTGCTGAGAATTGGAATGTTCTGGTTGCTATAAACTGAACAGTGCAGCTGAACAGCAAATCACATGATATTTCTGAATTATGAGAAAGATGTCAGGCACATTCCCACATTCTCCATCAAGGAGATCTTCACTAATGCTAAGGAATATCTGCCAGCAAAGGTGGAGTCCACATAAAAATAAATACAAACCTTAATCAACATGTTTGCAAAGCTCAGGGCTCATTTTCCAAAAGCAGCATCAGGTACTAACAGACATTCCCAACCTGCCCACTCCTTCATAAAGTAGCAATGGTTGTAGCTTCAGGAATGGTTCCACGCTGACTCACTTTTCTGCAATACCCAGAAGAGCTGAGACAAACCACACACAGAGAATTATTACTCCCAGTTATTGCTTCCCTTGAGCTATTTGAATAATAAACAAAAAGAATGCATAAAGTGAATCCAGATTTTTCTGTTTTACTCTTTTAGAATTTAAGCTCTTTAAGGCAGGACTGGCTTCATTTTGAATTTTGTGCAGTGTTTATTTCACTTTGTCAACAATTCACATAATATATGATAATAATTGTTCTGTCCTTGCTTAAAAGGTGTCCACACAGCACTTAACAAAAAATGGAGCTGGATTCAGTTGATGGTAAGAACTAAAGTCTATAACGAGAAGCAGTGTTTAAGTGCAATGGACTACCCAAGACTCATAATAAGTGAAATATGGCTTTACAGCATTTGAATAGTTTCAGCTATAGGGAGAAAAAAGAAAAAAAATGTGGTCTAATTGGACTAGAAAAAAAAAGGGATGATTGAAAAGGGAAAAAGGAGCACAAATATGGAAGGATATGATCCCAGCTTCAATAGAACTGGAACTGTTCATCACCATCACAGGTCTTCATGAAGAGCTTTTAATGAAGAACTTACAAGAATCATGTTTAGAAATTTGGGTAACAAAGGTTGTCAATAAACACATATTTATTTGAAACGTATGTTTCCACATAGAAAAAAAGGTCATACAAAAGAAGATGGGATCCCACGCTCATTAACTGACTGACCATGCTCTGACAAACCTCCTCATAGAACAGATTCAGTCTGGAATAAACACTTGTTGTTGAATCAATCAAAACACAAGATGGGAGTATTTACATAGGAAAAGTGCAATGATACTCATCTCAGTACAGACAGGTAACAATTGATTCAATAAAAAGTTAACCAGAACACAATTACAACTTGAAAACTTTAAAAAGGCACTGTGCGTTTGTACCAGTTTCTTGATTTTTATCTCAAGCTATTTGTAATACAGTGGAAGACACCCTAAAACAAACATGATCTCTTCAACTCACATTCTAAGGATTAAATTCTATCTCGCTGGACAAAAAGAGTATCCTCTACAGACTCACTCAAGGGTTTGTTTAGGGTTAGCCACAATTGTCATTAGTAGTTCCTGCTTACTACCTGGATAGGTATATTACAAGACAAAGTTAGGTGGGAGAAGGAAACAATTCCTCCAGGAAAAGGACAAACATGATTTTTTCCCTTTAAAACGAACATCCCGATTAAACTAAATCACAGATATCACAGAACTGCATTTCAGAGGAACTTCCTCAATCCTCTTCTACTAAGAAAACAAATGGAAGGAGATAGGGTCTGCATAAAACAGGATTCCCAGAATAAGTGCCATGTTGAATAAATGGCTTGACAATTCAGGAATTGACAACTACAAAGAGAAACTTTCTGAAGCTGCTTCAAGTAGTTAGTATTTGAGCATACCTATCTGCCGATCCTTTGTCTTTATAATGACAATGCAACTACGCAGACATCAATTGTATTGAGTTTGTATTAAGAACATGACGACAATCTGAACACTCGTCTATGATCTGAAGCAACCATAACTTCAGTTAATTTCTGTAACTTAAGTAACAGAAAGCAGCGATCCCACACTATCCTGGGTAACATGCCAAATTGCTCCAGAGCAGCGCAGCAGCTCCCAAACCCGTTCTTCGCTTCCTTCCAGAGCTACACGCTGAGCTGCCTCACATTACAGCAACCTACTCTCAATCAGGAACTTGCAACACCTGCAATTCAGGAATCGCTCTGCAAGCCAGAAGTTCCAACAGGAGCTGGAATATGGCAATTTGTCATAAAATGGTGATCTCATGATCAAAAAAAAGTGGTGCTTAGGTATACCTGCATGTGAAGAATCAGGTCTGTGACTGTCTGTTCTGACCCCTAGTATGACAAGGCCATAGCATTCCAGTGTACAAAACCTGGAACGGCAGTTAAGTCACCCATGCCAGTCTCAAGTTAAAGATTTCAAAGTTTAAGTCACTGTCAATTGTTCCAGTGACTTATCCTTAAATCTTTTCCATTTTGAGAAACAGTTTTATAGGATAAAGTCCTCAACCAAGTTTAAGCTTCATTGTTGAAGTAAATCTTGGCCTCTGCGAAGTCAACAGCAGAAGTTACTACTGCTTTTAAAGAAATCACTTCCATATTGATTACCGACATTTCTAGATCCATCTTGTTCTAGAGAAGACATCAAAACTAGTCTTACTGAATTATACCAAAAAATGCTTTTTTTTTCCCTCTCCGTTCCTCAGGCTGTAAACAAAGATTTAAGTGACCAGTTGCATACTGCAGATACCGTGCAAGCAAAAGAAACCTACTTGGAACTTTATTCTTGGTTTGCAGTTACTTTTTCTTCTCTTCCTCAAAATAAAATTTCATAAATTTAAAAAAACATAGCATGTGATACAGTCTGTCCTGCAGTTTTTATCATTCCACCACTAGGAAGACTCCAAATTTTAGGTACCACAGAGTGAGTTCACAGATTGTGTGAACAATGAGCTGAAAAAAAAATCTCAAATAATTTGACCAGTTTCCATGTGGCTCTTGTAAGATTAGTGCATTTTCTGATGCTGTGTTACTTCATAATTGTTTATTTTAATAACATTATTTTCAATGTTCTGTAGCTTTTCTGCACTGTATTATCATATTCTAGGATTTTTGACAGCTAAAAAACAAGCAGAAAAGTAGTAATTTTGCTTCTCAGCTGTATCAGCATCCTATTTGTATTCTTTGCTACATCAGAATATCCCTACTGATTTATTCAACATCACCTCTTTTCTGATATGTTCTTTTACTTAATTAGATTCAATTACTTTAGCAGGAATTACAGCCTCATCATGGATAATTTCACTCTGCTTCACTCCAGCTTCCAAAATTTGTCTTCAATTTTTTTTTTCTAAGTTTCACCTTGTCTGCCAAAACTAAAGCTCATCTCTAATATTAATGTACATGAACATTCTAGAAGTAAATCTTATGGTCTCTTATACCATGTAAGACACCACAGAAGGTCTTTTTTCCTATCTTTTTGTCAGGACTTTTTCTTCCTATAAATGGATCACTTATTTCTGTACATTGATTATAAGGCCTCCAAATTTACTTTTTTCCTTTTTTTCTTTATTCTCTCTTTTTCTTTTTTTATTTCCTCTCTTTTCTGGTTGTTCTTAATTACCTACCTAATATAAAACTATGTGCAATACCTTCTACCGCATATTGAAGCATAAGATCAGACTATCAAACACAGATGCATGTATCTCACAGAAACATGCAGTAAAGACACAGTATGACAAAAAGCTAGAGCACAACAGTAATTCTAATAATGTGAAATTATCAGACAGTGGCCACAGATTTTGTGAAAGAAATCTATATTCTTCTCAAATATATACAAATAAAATTTCTAAGCCATCTATTCATCTTTCATCTAGCCGGCCATCAGCTTTCAGAAAATTGTAATTTAATTCTTTCTGAGCTATCTAACCCCTCTTTAAAATTTGGCTGAAATTAGTCTGTGAACTCAAAAATCAGTAGGAAGGATGATATCACAGACTAGCAGACACACGATTTCATAAGTATCATTTCCTTCAGGAAACAAGCCAAAAGAATACTCATTTCAGACCATGCAGCAGAGTTCTCCGGGAAAAAGAAAATCAATGTTCTAATGAAAAAAAAATTATCACAGAAAAGAAGTAACTGAAAAATACACCTGTTAATGAATTCAACAGCTTATCATATAAAGAATTCATTGTTTTCAGTCAATTAAAATCCAAGATTTCATTTCACATATATGATAATAACATAACAAGGGAGTACATTTCTCCAGTTTATATCTTGATTAGTCGTAATCTGGATATCTAATGCAGAGTCAAACAAGCAAATAATTATTCAAATCAATTCATCTTGAGCTTAATGAACACTATTTGTTTTCTGGAAAAGTTTATTTTCTTCAAGAACTCAAAATCAATTATTCCCGTCAATGGCTAAAACAACTGCTCAGTATTTGTAAGAACTTGTGTCGTAATAGAAAGATGCCCAATTACTTCGAATACCAGTAACGCTATGAGTATAAAGCTCTTATACATGACTTATTTCTTCAGTAAATACCACTTTAAATTAACATTGATCCCAACATTTTCTTTAATTTTTACTGTTAACATAACTATATCTTGATGCTTAATCTACTTCAAAAGTTTAATGGTAGTGAATCATTACGCAAAAAACATGCTTCCATGATGAAAATATCACAAATCTAAAGTGTGGTAACTTTCTGACTTTGTCTCGATTTTGATCTCCAATTTATCTGTATGTATAAAACCTGTATGCAAAATATTAAAAGCCATGAACTTGTATGAAAAATTATTTAAAACCACTGATAACTTAAGATCTGAAATCCTTCTGGAAGAATTAGATATTAGAGTATTTAATAGTATAATAATAATAATAATAATAATAATAATAATAATAATAATAATAATAAATGTACATTGTTTATTTTATAAACCCCAAAGTTTATAAATACAAAAATCTGTACTTACTTCAACATGCATAAACAACGTTTGCTCAACGTTATCATTGTTTTTCTCCTTGAGATCTGGTGGGACATTTCTATTTGTTATTTGGAAGTGTGTTTTACTAAGATAACCATCAGCAAAGTCCTGTGTTCAGAAAACAGAAAAGAAAAATATTTTCTGCAGCCAAAAAGCTAAATGCTATCAATGCAGTAGAAAATAAACACAGCATGATAATTAGACATAAGCTCTCAGTCTTTTTGCAGATACCAATGATTACATTGCTTTTCAGCATCTCCTCCCAGGTAGTTGGGACAAGTTCTCAGTGTTAAGCAAGTCAAAGACTTGAACAGCAAAAATAAAATTTAATGTATCTATTAATTGGATGAGTCAAGAGACACGTGGGGACCAAGATTAGTGCCAAAGTGTCAGAACCAGTGCATGAAGGTCATGCATAACTAAACAGCTGACAATGATTTGACCTATTTCAAGCAATGCGTTCACACCGGTATAAATTTCCCAATTCTTGATACTTTATTTATATTAGTTTTGCTCCCCCACTTTCATACAGCCCTTAAAAAAAAAAAAAAAAAATCTGAACTTGTGTGTGCAGAGTCACAATTTCTTTCTCCTAATCAGCTCTGTGGGTCAAATGCAGACAAAGTCATAGCCATACATTCTCTCATTCCCTTTTTATCACTCTGTTTTCCTGGCCACGTAGTCTGCTGTTGTAAAAGGCCTCTGCAATTTCACAATAGCAAAAGAAGCTTTTAAGGGCCTTCCGCCTTGCTGACCTGGCTGTCTGAACACATATATAAACATTATTTTGTCAATTAGAAATAAGAGGAGAGAAAAAAGTTTAATAACAGATCACTGTGCACACACTGAAAGAGAGAGAGAGCGCACAGAACACAAAGAACAGTAGTCGCACGCTAAGGACTTATTTTTCAGAGGAAACAAATAAATTTGGGTTTTATTAGCTGTTTCATTACATTTTATTTTAGACAAACAAATACAAAAAGCATATGTGCAACATCTGATGTAAAAGGATTCTATTCAAAACAGTCTCTCTAAAAAAATTCATTAATATACCATTAAATTGCCTGACAAGGCTGCAAATTTAAATATGACTTAACTCTGGTTAATCTATCATTTCTGACACAGTTTATTTCATATATTCTGACTTGCAAATCAACATGTGTTCTATTCTGACACATTAGTTCTGTTTTTTTCAATGATACTGCAGCATATATCTAATTCCAGCATCTGTTATTTGCATACTTTGCTGTTAACAAGTTTCATACCTGAAACAAAATGATATTGGTCTGCACTTTTGTCTATGATTTTTTCAGCATGGATATATTATGAGCTTGGTACTATGGTATTCTCTTGCTCGTAACTTCTCTTACTGCTATGCTTTATTTTCCCACTAAATACCCTCAAGAGCATGAATCCCCCAAGCTGCTGGATGTCCTGCTGTAGCATCAACAGCATCCTCTGCTCTGAGAAGTCAAACACACAACAGGGCAACAGTGACAGAAAAACTAGGCCTAACTTAGCAACACGTAAGTCACTTATTCCAAGCGCTCTGAAACGTCTTCTTGCTGTGGAGTTTCCTGTGAAAATCAACAGGGATAAAACTATCTGCCTTGGTATTTATCCCCCGGAGAGCAGCAGAGAAAGCACGGCTGCCGCCCACAGAGGTGAACTGCCCCAGGCACCTGGAGCTCTGCCTGAGAAGGAAACCTAGCATTCTCCTCCCTGAACCAGTTTTTCCTGAGGGGGAGAGAACTCACCAAAGCTCTGTAGCCTTTACAATCTACAACATCTGAGTGCCATGAACAACATCTACGGACAGCTGGTAACACATGGAGTCAGTAGCCTCTGCAATTGCTAGTTAGAGATGAGAGGTGAGTGAAAGGATGGCAGGAAAGAGGCATTCCTCCCACTGCACTCTCTATTGTGAACATATTTGGCATACTGCTTTCCATATAAACAAAACAATACTGTAGCACAGACTTTGATCCTCAAAACGGGTAAAGGGAATTCCTTCCTACTCCAGTGGCCTTATAAGTAAGTATCACAAATAGAGGTGAAGCAAAACAGCCCTGGATATAATTACCTAGATTAACCTAACTGAACATACAAAACAGAAAGCAGGTGAAGGGACAACATACACTGAGTAGATTCATCTAGATTATAGTGTAAACACCCAAATTTACTTTTGTCAGGTCCTGCAAGTGAGATGCCCTGAATTTTTTTACAGCTTTAGTTTTTAAGGAAGAAAATGGTAATAAAAATAACATAGTTTAGAACATTTGACTTAAAAGCTATAAAAACAAGGTCTGGCTGGCCCATGTGAACTTATGCAACAAGAGCCAGCTCAGCAAATAAAAAGGGGGAAAAAAAAGGGTATCATTCCATCATTTAAGTTTAATTTTTACAGAAAACATAATACAGTCCTACAAGCCTAGTTTACTTGTGTGGTCTTTTTGCTATCAATGAGTCTATTCACGTGAGTATGGAATGAGGAATGGGATCCAAGTGAATTACATCAGGAAAATCAAGAGTGCCTTAACTACTCAGAGCACATATATTGGTTTTGTTTTTTGATTTTTGTTTTTTTTTTCTCTAAGGAAAAAGAACGAAAAACAATGAGGCATCTTGTTAAACAAAAATTCTCTTTCCAGATTATATAGAATAAATGGATGTTCTCAAAGGCCAGGTTTTTAATCACACACTGAAACCACAGACTTGCCAACTTGGCCCACTAAAAAAAATACTCTAAATAATTTTTATAGAGAGAACAAAAATCTAGCTCATTTCACTATTTCCAGCAAAGCTTCCTGTTCCACAGAAAGTTCAAGCTTTGACCCATGCATTGAATTCCTGATAGAGGCTCACAGCATCTTTCTTTACAGAATAAATCCCTCATAAATATAGCCTTGGACAGAAATCTAAAGTTTCAAATGGTTGCCTGCAAGAAAGGGAGCATTGTAACACTTGGCTAATATTTTCAGTGTTTTAAAAACCCAGATGTGTTCTGAACGGAATGTATCTACAAACAAGCTTCCATTTCTTATTAAAATTCAGTTTTAATTGTGATGAAAGGGTTACAAATGCTAATGTATAATTACTTAGGTAAAAGTGATATCATATATTTACTCTGGGACTTCTTACACTTTAAAATGTTACAAGGATGATTTTTCTCCTCAAAATTCATGAAAGGATGGGAATTGAGCCATTTAAATTAACAAAAACAATAATAGCAACATGAATTCCATAAATAAAATAAAAAGTTATAACAGTAAGTACATATCCTAAACTATTCAGTGTTGGAAACTGCTGTGAGAAGCAAGAGAATACTAGAAAAACTATGTTGCCTATTCAGAGGAAAAAAAAAAAAAAAAAAAGGTAGAGGAAAAAGAAAATCCTAAAACAGATGGCAAATAACAGAAGCATTTGAAACAGAAAAAGCAAGTGTTCCAAATATTTCTGTTGTTTCTGGAGAAAAAAATATAAATGATGTGGCCATATTCTACAATTGTTAGACAATTGTACAATTGTCTACAATTTTTCTTCCAGGAGTGGTTAAGCAGGGCAATATCATGATGTAGCTATCATTAGATATTCTTAAATAAGCACATTAGAGCTGCTCATTTTGAGTCTTTGAGCACTGTGGAAGTTTCAGAGAACTTGAGAATGACAGTATTTACTAATATATGTTTAATATATACACTGGATAGCTTGAGTGACTATATTAGTCTGACATCATCCCAAGCAGGGATTATTTGATACTGAATTCACTAAATGAAAAACTGAAGTCAGTAAATACCATTTTTTTAATAAAAACAGATCTTGTCAAGGTAAAAAAGATACATTTGGTTGATAAAAATAAAAGTGGTGACAGTATATACATAGAATTCCATACGGCATCTATAGACTCCGCAAGCACAAACTAAATAATTTAAATAATCCAGAACAAATATGACACACACTAAAAAGATGAAAAAAACGGTTAACTTACAGATCTCAAATGTAACTTAAAAATGGAGAATCATCATAAAAGAAATGATTCTAATGGGGTCTTGTGGGATTAGTTTGGCCTCACACTACTTAAAATTTTGATTAATGACCTAGAAACAATACGTAATTATTATTGGTGAGGTTTGAAAATGATGGGGAAGCAGTAAATAATGAGGACTGATCACTAATACAGAGATTTTACTGGGTGCTGTAAGCAAGCAAAAAACAAGCATTTTAATAAAAAAAAAATAAAGTCTCACATCTAGAACAAAGACTGAAGGATGAAGGATTCAGTCCTTAGACACAATCCCCTGCAAAGGTTTATTAGCTATATAGGAGCTCACCATCTGCTATTTTAATTTAAAGGGCTAAAGTGATCCTTGGATGTATAACCAAAGAAACTTGGTAGGAGTAGGAAGGTGGTAGCATCTGAATTTAGTAGTGATACAACACAAGACAACATCCGCTGTCTCATTCCATCCACAGCTGAAGAAGGATGTTGATATACTGGAAGGGATTCAGAAGAGATCCACAAGAATGATTAAAGGATTGGAAAACATGCCAAACAGTCAAGGAGCTCAATATGTTTTGCTTAACACAGACAAGGTTAAGAGGTGAATTGATTCCAATCTAAAAGCAGTGAAACAAGGAGAATTCTGACAACAGAAGGCTCCTCAGCCTTGCAGACAACATCTTCCAGTGGCTGGAAGTTGAAGCTGGGCAGTTCAGATAGCCAACCATTAGAATGGCTTGCTAATAAATATTTGTTAAAAGATTGGTTCTGATCAGAACAGAAATCATCCAGGATAATCCTACTCATTTGTTGTTTCTGCAAAATCCTACCCAGCAGCTGTTTCTGGATTCATGAACTCTTAGCCTATGTAATAGATGTACTGGCCTAATTCTCAGCCCTACATCCTCAGCTAAATCACCTTTGTAGTTTCTTGTTCTTGGACCAGCTGCGTAAAATGCTATTTATTTCATGTGATGCAAACCACCCTAAGGGATGTTCTAGTTGCAATGGTTGCCGACAGCTTAAAAAGGCCAGCAAAGGTATCTAAAAAATAAGAGGGTTAGGCAGGAACTATTTACCGATACTTTGATTATTTTACCTTGCTAGTTCTCCACTCCCAACCATCTCTTATTTTCTGTGAATGCTTAACAAATTCTTCACAGTACTGCTTGAACTTTTTTTCTTCCAAAAAGAAGTCCTCTTCACCAGCCATACTAAAGGACATCTGCAGAACAAATTAAATGTTAGTACTGATAGATGAAATAAACACTAAAAATTCATTGATTCATAGAAACTGAATAGTAAAATAACAAAACAACAGAAAAAATGTGTTTCTTCAACTACAACAAAGTTGTCTGCAGCTTCACCAGAGCAGGGACCTCTTGAAACTGTCTAGCCCAAACCCTGCTCCACTCAAACCAGAGTTCTCCGACCATGACCAGTTGGTATCTCCAAGGATGGAGACCTCCCACAGCTTCCATGGGCAACTGTTCCAGTGTTCAATCACCTTCACCATGAAGTTCATGGCTGTCTCGCACACTGACAACGTCCTGAACAGCCCCAACCCTCAGGCTCTCCTCACATATCAGATGTGCCAGTCCCTTAAATGTCCTCACGGGCCTACACTGGACTGACTCCAGTGTGTCCGTGTCCTTCTTGCACAGGGGAGGCCAGAGCTGGACACAATACACCAGATGTGGTCCACACTCCCTTAGCAGTCCAACCAAAAAGCTGAATTCCACTCAGTGGCTGAGTCTGAGTGTGTGGCCTGACATCTCTTCCTCAGGGACCAGGATGGCCCCACAACAAACATGGAGCGAACCAAGATCTCTGGTGTCACACGCTTCCCAACCCCATTCATAAGGATCATATAAAGGCCCTCTCAGAAAACCTGCCCTACTTCCCCCTTATTTTTTTCTTTTTCACCCCTTTCTCCTTTCAAAGAAGATGTGTTACAAACATGACTGTTCCAACCTTCTTACAGACACCAGGTACCACTGTGGCACCATACAGAAATACTTAGCAGGAATACAACCGCTCCACATGTTGTTTTGGCGAGAGGTCCACCACACCTCGAGCACTGCTCATGACTTTTCAGGATTTGGCCCTGAACAGCAACGCCTTCCTGTCTGCCCATGCCGTACATTATCTATGCAGCACTTCCAAACGTGTTACTTTGAACGGCAGCTAACCCGAGGCCCTGCTAACCGGTGTTACCTGGACGAGGAGGAGGAGGAAATAAGGAAAACAGACTCTATAAATACGTCCGCAATCCCCGCGTTTCCCAGCCCAGGATGATGAACTGCGAAACAGCCGTAAGCAGGCCGCACGTACAGGCCCTGCAGCTCTCACATATGTTTTGAATAGGGCATCGTGTTTTAGGAAATGGGCAGATGTAAGGAGATAGCGGGCTGCTGGCGGCCGCGCGAGCCCGAGTGCCGCCCCTCTCCCTGAAACGCTCGCGGGGAGCGCGGCGAGCTCGCGGCCGCCGAGCCAGCGTTCCACGGGGCGCGCGGGAGGAAGCGCCCGCGCCGCTCAGCGCCGCCCCGCCACGTACCGTGCCGCCCTCCTCCTCCTCCTCCTCCTCCTCCTTCTCCTCCCGCCGGCTCCAGGTGGGGCGCGGCCGGGCCCGCCTCTCCCTCCC